CTATAACCGCCAGCCGCTCCCAGTTCTCAGGTGTGACCCCGCCACTCCGGGTTTCCACCCCGGGGGCTGCCCTAAAGTCCTTTCCCCGCTGCTACTGGTCCGCGAGTCTGTGCCCAGTCCCTAGCGCATGAGACTGTCACTCACCAGCGGTGTAGGATCCCCATGGCCAGGCACCCTCCCTTTGCCGTTTATCCTCCAGTATCTGCCCATGGAATCAGGGCTCCCAGCTTTGTACTTCAAAACCAACTGCCTGTGATATTCTGTTTGTAGAGATCCAGATCTTCTTACATCTCAGGCTGGTTTCCTGGGTGCTCAGAATGGTCTGGTAGATATCCAGCTCAATTCCAGGGACCAGTTGAAATAGGGCCCCCCAATCCTCCACCATCTTTCTTTCTCCCCAAAATCCAAACATCTTAAACTCAAGTGATCCAGAAATTTTAATTCTTGGAGGTAAGAACATCTGTTATCACGCAGCTCTGACTTTCACAGGAATTGCTCAATTTGACTGGTCATACCTTTTCATCATGCTGTTGAATAACCACTGTGTGCGAGGACATCTGTTCTTTATAGATAACATTAAAACAATTTAAAGAGTAAGTCATAAAAAATGATACTCAAAACTCATAACCAACCACCATTTTAATTAGACTATTTAAATGTTCCTTCAAATAAATAATGAAAAAACTTGAATAGGCAACTTATAAAAGAGGAAACCCAACATTTAAAAATATCATCAATATCATTAATCATCAGGTGAATGAAAATTAAAAACATAGTGAAATGTCTATGTAAACCCACCACAAGGGTTAAAACTTAAAAAAACTCCCAAACACCAAGTGGTCCTGAAACTGCAGCCACAGGAACTATTATAAAAGATGACTTGAAGTGAAACTTGATGCAGCCATACTGCAAAACAAGTTGAAATTATTTAGTTTTATGATATGTATAACCCCTAAACAAGTAATTACACTCCTAGAAATACCAATACTATACCTATTAGACCTGTTAGAATGCCTGTTTTCAAAAAGATAAGAAATATACAATGCTGGGAAGAATATGGAGAAAAAAGAATGCTTGTGCACTTTTGGTGGAAATATAAATTGGTGCAGCCACTATGGAAAACAGTATGGAGTTCAACAAAAATTAAAAAGAAAACTATCAAGTGATCCAACAATTCCACTTCTGGGCATTATCCTAAGGAACCTAAAACACTAACTCAAAAAAGACCTATGCATCTCCATTTTCATTTCAATAGTTTTACCTTAGTTCAGACATGGAAACATGTATCTGTTACTTAAGTATATATTGACGGATGAATGGCTAAATAAAATGTGGTGTATATATATGCAATGGAATCATAGTCACCCATAAAATTAATATATTGTTATTTGTGACAATACGGATGGATCTTGAGGACATTATACTAAGTGAAAAGTCAGAAGTCAAACAGAAACAGACAAATACTGTATGATCTCACTTATATGTGGAATCTGAAAAAGCACATGGCGAGATCAGTTCTCATTTTATTCAATGATAAAAATTGCAAAGGAAAATTTCAACTGATATATCTGTTAATCAATGTATCTACCATCTATTTTTTTTCCTGTATCTATTGTCTATCATTTTTCTTTATAGCACATTTCTAGATACCTTACCTTTAAAACTTATGTCTATTGACAGCATTTCCACCTCTAATTAGTCTATTTTTAATTTTTTTCAATAAAGATTATTTTAAAACTTGTGTGCATTTTGTGTCTTTTCTTGTACTTTCTGCTGGTATGCTCTTCAAGTTATGCTGTTCCAAATCACTATTTCCACATATGAATTTCCCAAATTTGTTGTTTGAAATGGCAACTACTAGTAATTGTCTTAATCCCCTACTTGTTTTGCCATGTTGAACATCCTCTGGCATTTGGCTCACAGTGGAGGCCCATATTCTGTGGGGAAACAGTCGAAGGACTAGTGTTGGATATTTTATTCAATTTCCAACTTGTGGGGCCTTTTAAATAAATATTTTAATATGTCAGAAAATAATAAATAAATCTGTTTACACCATACCAAATTCAGACTTTTCCACACACTTATTAAACACTGTGCAGAAGTTTTCTAAAAAATCACACATTTTTGTTTCAACTTATGAAGAATAAAATGTTTTTCCAGCTATAAAGAGCTTCTTTTGAAATGAGGTGAAAAAACTATTTCCATTTATTTTTATCTGAATCATTATTGTGATACTAAAGTTTGGGGGGAAGGGATTGATAGGTCATGATAGAAGCGACATATAAGCTTGCAGTGTCTCAATAGATGCGCCATGTCCCCATCTAAAGCATGTAAGTGTATTATACTATGTGATATCATCATCATCATCATATATAATAATATACGGCATGTTTAAAGTTCCATGGAGTAGGTAAAGGAGGGCCAAAATGATGGAGAAAGGATTTCATAGAAAAAATGACAAAATAATAAGCTCTATTATCATAACACAACATTACCAAAGGATGAATGACTTGTTACAGTTCTCTTTGCTTTGAATGTAAAACATAAGAAATCATCTCAGTTCTACTTCATTATACTACTCATTAACTCTTTATCCCAATTGAAAATTGGGGTGTATTCATGTATCTGTATATGTATATTTCTGTGACTTACAACATACTCTTTATGATTTTTCTTAAAAATTTACTAATTATTGGGCGCCTGGGTGGCTCAGTTGGTTAAGCAACTGCCTTCGGCTCAGGTCATGATCCTGGAGTCCCGGGATCGAGTCCCACATTGGGCTCCCTGCTCAGCAAGGAGTCTGCTTCTCCCTCTGACCCTTCCCCCTCTCATGTGCTCTCTCTCTCTCTCATTCTCTCTCTCTCAAATAAATAAATAAAATCTTTAAAAAAATTTACTAATTATTTAATGTCCTTAATTCTAAGATAAACATTTGTTTCTTATTTCAATGCTTTTATAAAAGGTGTTCATTCAAAATTGATATAATCATTTAATGTAATGTTTATTTTCTTGAAAAATAAGTAACTAAATTTGTGGTACATTTGAAAATAATAGAAACGAATTTATATTTATACAAAAGTATGTTAAAGGAAAAGTTATGGTGTAACTGTTATGTGATCAGAACCATGATTTGGACTATAGAAATAAATCAAAATTTTTTTAATGTATGGGTTTTTCACGTAGGCATCACTTAAAACAGTTGCTGTGTATTAAAATAATTTGCTTATTAGAAAGGATATATATTTTTTTATCAACTATATATATGAGTCTCACTAGAAGAGATATCAAAACCATTTCTGTCAACTATGTACAAGGATTTAGAGATTGGGAAATATGCAATTAAATGCTCTCATAATTCTCTATATCAAAACCTTATTTAAGCTAGACTTTGAAATATGGATATAATTTGGAAACATAGGAGATTTCATGAGGAGGGTAATATAAAGCTTCAGAAATGCAATGATGAGTCTACAGAACATGAAAGGTATTGCTACAGACATTTTTTATGTCTCTATGTTACAAGCCATATAACATAACATGTTTCCCAACTTCCCTCGGTCTCCTTTTTCTATCTCTTTAACTATATTCACATCACTTCACATTGGTTGGAAGAATAAAAGTGACAAGATAGTTTTCTGCAGCAAAAAATGAAAATAATTTTAAATATTTAGGCTATTTGAAATGTTATATGACACTGAAACCTGGAAAAAGTGGACGTGGGATTTATCACAATGAGAGAAACAGTGCCAGATGCTATTTTCATAAATTCCAACATTATTAAAAAATAATTAGCACAATATCTAACATCAGCACATTAGATAAAAGTTAATTATATAAATAAAAAATATATGAGTACAAAAATATAATTTTCATCAAAGGAACAAAAATGTAAGAATAATCTAATTAAATATATGAGTAAATATATAAAATCCATCATAAGATATATATAAGTCAAATAACTGAAGCTTGTGAGTAAATTGAGTATTTTCCTAAACTGCAAAACTTAGTCAAAATCAATTTATATTAAAATCAAATTTTCAGGGTGGCTATGTGGCTCAGTTGGTTAAGTGTCCCGACTCTGGATCTCAGCTCAGGTCTCGATCCCATGGTCATGAGTTCAAACCCCACATTGGGCTCCACACTGTGTGTGGCGCCTACCTAAAAATAAATAAATAAATAAATAATAATCAAATTCCCATCAGATATTGAAAAGCAAATGCTATAAAGTGGAATGAATAAAATATAGATGCAAAATCTAGGATATTAAAAAATGATATAAATGAAATGTCATGGAAGATGATAGTTTTGGAGGAATAAAAATCTCATGCAAATCTCACTGTATATGTAGCTCATCACAGGAGTCCAAATCACTGAAGAAGAGAAAAAATTTTCATAATTTCTATATAATTAAGATAGAAAGTGAAGGAATATGAGACAATTAATTTCTATTATAACTGACAATCAGAGGGGTGCCTGCGCTGTTCAGTCAGTTAAACATCTGCCTTTGGCTCAGGTCATGATCCTGGTGTCCTGGAATTGAGCCCAGAGTCAGGCTTCCTGCTCAGTGGGGAGTCTGCTCCTCCCTCCTCCCTGTTCCTGCTCCTACTCTATCTCTGAAATGAATTAAAAATAAAATTGACAACCTGAGACCATTACTAACAAGACCCTATGTAGTAGAAATAACTCCAAGCAGCTATTTGAGTAATAAACAGCTTCAAATTTCATCACCTTTCCATTACTCCTTTTAATATCTTTTTTTCTTCTTCTTGAAACAAAGTTTTATTCAGGACACATTGCAATATGAAATGGGGCAACATTTTCAACATCTGTTTTCAAAATGTTCTCCCCATAGAGTTATATTTTTAAAATCAAATAAAAGTGAGTAGCTTAATTTTAATTTCTTTTTTTTTCTTTCCTTTCCTTTTTTTATTTTGCTTAACTTTAATTTCAACATATGTTCAGCATTTTCCTGTAAAATAATCAGCTAATCTCCATAGGACTTAAGCAAGAGCTAATTTAATATCTTTGCTCCTCAGACAGTAGATAACAGGGTTCAAGGTGGGAGGTACCACAGAATAGAACATAGACATGAACAAGTCCAGGAGAGAAGGCTCATGAGAGGTTGGCTTCAAATAAGCAATAGTACCTGTTAGAAGGAATGTAGTCACCAGAATCAGGTGAGGCAAGCAGGGGGAAAAGGCTTTGCCCTGTTTCTGTCTGGTTGGGATATTTAACACAGTGGAGAAAATATGTACATAAGAGACCACAAATCCATAACAGACCCCAATGGCCACACTGACATTAATAGTTGCATGTTCCACAGAACAAGTGAGCTTCAGTAGGGCAGGCACATCACAAAATAACTGATGTATCTTAGTGGACCCACAAAATTTTAAAGAGAATGTCCCAGCTGAGTACAAGATTCTGAAGACCCCTCCACTGAGCCAGGAGACTAACACCAGCTGGACACAGACCTCTTTGCTCATAACAGCTTCATAATGCAGAGGATGACAGATGGCAATATAGCAGTCATAAGACATTGCAGTGAGAATGCCAATCTCGGACCCAGACATTAGTACCACAAGGAAGAGCTGTAACACACAACCCAGGAAAGAGATGGAGTCAGTGAAGGTGATGGCATTGAGGATGGATTTGGGGACTGTGGCAGAAATGAGACACATATCTAAGAAGGATAAATGCCTTAGGAAGAAGTACATTGGAGTGTGGAGGTGTTGGTCAAGAATTGTGAGGAACATGATAATTAAATTCTCCACTATGGCCAGTAGGTAGATCAGGAAGAGAAACACAGCATGTAGCCTCAAGAGCATCTGGTTCTCAGTAAATCTCAGAAGCAAGAATTCCATTATTATTGTTTGATTCATCGTATTTTATACTTAAAAGCCACCTATTGAATAAAGAAAAAAGTTACATTAAAATAACAAAATATTATTTACTTCTTTATTTTTGAAACATGTATACTTTATTAACATGGGATAGATGGAAAATTTAAAATATCAAGATATCTATATTTATAGTTTAATCAGATATAAAACAACTATAAGCATAACAGTCCAATATAACTGGACTTAAATTCATTGTGAAAGGTGAAAATAATTCCACTTCCCTCTCTAACTCAATACTTGAAATGATTTTTGAGTAAATTTATTTCAGCGGGAATTTCAGAATTGGCTACATAATTCCAATTGTAATAGAATGCATATTTGTTATGCATAAATATCCTAATTGATGTAAGTGGTGATGTGGGTCAGAAGTCATGGATGAGAGGTTATGCAGAAAAAAAAGAAGTTATGGATGAATTTTCTGTTTGTAGCATATTGCACACTGTTTAAATAATCATTAATGTTAGTTGATATTCTATTACCCACTTCTCATTGAAAGACATTAAATTTTATCCCATGTTTTCATTAAAAACCTATTTTTTTTGGTGAAAATATCATCAATTGGGTGCCTGGGTGTCTCAGTGGTTAGCATATGCCTTTAGCTCAGGTCATGATCCCAGGGTCCTGAGATCCAGGCAGGAGTAGGGCTCCCTGCTTAGTGGGGTGTCTGCTTCTCCCTCTCCCTTTGTCCCTCCACCCCACTCATGTTCTATTGCATGCTCTATCACTCTCTCTCAAATAAATAAATAAAATATTTAAAAGGAAAATATCATCAATATTATTTGCTATTTCTTTGTGAAGGTATTTACTAAAAAACAAAACAGAAAGCTACCCTGGTAACTTTGTCAAATTGGTTTAAAAATGTATAGTACCATTTTCTTATGAAAAGAACAAAATTGAAGACTATAAAGCAGATTTTTAGCATGCAACACTAGCAAGGATTTAATTAACAGCAAGAACAAGCACATATTAGAGATGTAACTGTATCTAGTGAGAAAAACACAGTGTCCTCCCATTTTAGACTCACACAAGACTTATAATCCATGATCACTCAAAAACCCCATTGAGATCTTTTATCATAATTTTGTCCCTCAGATATTTCTTTCTTTTTTATTTTCTTTTTTTATTATTATGTTCAGCTAGCCAACATTGAGTACATCATTAGTTTTTGATGTAGTGTTCAATGGTTCATTAGTTGTGTATAACACCCAGTGTTGATCACAACAGGTGCTCTCCTTAATACCCATCACCTTTTAATTGTACTTTAGCCTCACTTCAGTGACAATTTCTTTAGATCTCCATACAGCCTCTTTCAACCCCTCACAATATGTGTGGCTTTCTCAGTGAACACTCTAATTTAAGAAAAAAATTTCCTTAACCTCTGTAAATGAAACTCAGCCTTTGATCCACAAGTTTCTAATTGAGTACTAACTGTAAAAATGTTTCATCCACCCTTGGAATCTTTCTCATCAGCCTTTCTCAGTCAGACTTTTGAGAACTCCCTGTGTCTGAGCCCATCTCTCCTGCATTATCACTCATCTTCCCAATCATCAGACTGACACACCATGACATGGAGTTTCTCTTGAAAGCCAAAGGTAGTGGGAATTTGATCATCATTATTCTACTTAGGCTCTTCTACCTATGGAAAGCCCTTCAATCATTTTAATTTCAGTGCCTTAAGCCTTAATTATCTGAGTAATCCAGCATCAACACAGTGTTTGTGCACTGGAAGAAGAACAGTGATTATTCATTCTCCATGTGACAGTGAGCCAGATTGAAGGTTCCTTTGTGCTTACTCTGATGTTTCTTCTTTCCACCTGGAAAAGTAGACTCAGACTTTCTATTGATTCTTTATGTAGTTTCTGCTACTTTCAATGTGATGATTTCTTAACTTCGGAGAAGTTCCATTTGGTTGAACTCCTATTAATCTTTAATTTGGAAGAGTGCAAAATAGACATATACATATAGTTTGGCCAATGCTGTCTTTGTCTCATATGTGGACATAATTTTTTATTAATAAAACAAATATTTATTTTAACATCTGAAAGTCATCCATACTGGTTTCACAATCAGGCACAATTGTTAATATTTTCCATAATCAAAAAGAGTTATTGATATTTATTTATTTATTTATTTATTTATTTTTTAAAGATTTTATTTATTTATTTGACAGAGAGAGACACAGCGAGAGAGGGAACACAAGCAGGGGGAGTGGGAGAGGGAGAAGCAGGCTCCCCGCCGAGCAGGGAGACGGACGTGGGGCTCGATCCCAGGACCCCGGGACCATGACCTGAGCCGAAGGCAGACGCTTAACGACTGAGCCACCCAGGTGCCCCAAAAAGAGTTATTAATATTTAATATGAAATTTTCCTATAGTTCAATATTATGTTTCTATTGATTAAGTTAAATATATAAAACCAAAAAGTTATTTTTCTCATCTTAAGGTAAACAATACTTTGAAACCACTTATTTCCAAATAATTACTGTGTTAATGGGATATAAAGTCATATTTTAATGTAAAAAGTTGCATATAAATATCAGATAATTTTAATTTTATTTGTTAAATATGTATTTATGTGTTTATTTTTAGAGAGAGAGAAAGGAAGAGCACAGGTAGGGGGAGGGACAGAGGAGGAGGGAGAGAGAGAATCTCCAGCAGACTCCCCACTGAACATGGAGTCTGATGCAGGGCTTGATCCAGCACCCTGAAATCATAACCTGAGCTGAAATCAAGAGTCAGACACTCAACCAACTGAGCCAGTAAGGTGCCCCAATATCAAATATTTTAACATATTTAACAGACAAAACAAATATTTCTTTTTTTTGCAATATTTTATTTATTTATTTATTTGAGAGAGCGAGAAAGAGAGAGAGAGAGCACATGAGAGGGGGGAGGGTCAGAGGGAGAAGCAGACTCCCCGCTGAGCAGGGATCCCGATGCAGGACTCAATCCCAGGACTCCAGGATCATGGCCTGAGCCGAAGGCAATCGCTTAACCAACTGAGTCACCCAGGCACCCAGACAAAACAAATATTTCTATCACTCCCATGGACTTTAGGCAAGAAATTCCCTGTCTAACAAGACCACTTATAAAAAGAAGATTGTTTTGAAGATTTTGATATCATACTTTGTTTTCAAACGTAATTACTTAATAATCCAAAATTGAATAAATGACAGAGAATAGGAGATCTCATAAGGGTTAAAAGGTATTAGACATTTTATTTTTGATTAAAGGTAGAGTGGAATATGTGTATATATATATACATATATATATATAATGCAATATTACTCAGCTATAAAAGAAAATGAAGTCATGTCATTCACAACAACATGGATGATCTAGAGAGTATAATGTTAAGCAAAATAAGCCAATCAAAGACAGACAAATACCATATAACTTCATTCATGTGTGGAATTTAAGACACAAAACAAATGAACAAAGGAAAAAGAGAGAAAGAAACTCTTAACTATACAGAACAAACTGAGGGTTGCCAGAGGGGGGCAGGTGGGAGAATGAAATAGGTGATGGGGATTAAGGAGTGCAATTGTGATGAGCACTTGGTATTTTATTAAAGTGTTGAAATGCAATGTTGTAAACCTATTATTACATTGTGATATAATATATATATATGGAATTTGAATAAATACTTAAAAAATAAGAATCGAATTTTGAGAAAAAGACTGCCGAGAAGACTTTCAAAGTAATTTTAGTAGAGAAACTAGTAAAAATAAAATAAAATAAAATGAAATGAAATAAAAATAATTAATTTGGGGTTTCTCTTTACACTGTTTGTTAAAAAAACGGGTCTTATTTTGAAGTCAAGAAGAGCCATAAAACTGCAAATAACTTCCCCGTATGCCTCCAGGTTCTTGTTTCAAATCACAATGATTTTGATGGAGCTTCTCTGACATGTACATGCCAGTATGTGTTTTCCTTGTGCTGTCTCCAAGTTCTAAGAGGAAAAATTGTCCTTAATGTCCTATGCCTTTGGCAACTTTTTCTCTAATAAGGGGAAAGACTTTTAACACAGCTTCAAATGGACCTTTATGCAGTACATGGGATTCTCCCAGGAGGTCAGACTTTCAGATGTGCCTAAATTTAATTTCTGAGATTCCAAAGCCTTTGAGACTCTGCTCTCATTTCCCATCTCTGATTTGAGAGTTGACACTACTGTCCTTTTTCCAGTGAGATAAAGGATGAGATCTCACTGGATCTCATTAGAATAAGCCATGCATCATCCCTTTATTTATTCATTATATGTTTGTGGACATTGAATTCTAATACATTAATTTGCTTCTAAAGCATGTAACAATTTACATTTAGGTCTGCATCCACTAATCTTTAGTTGATTCTGATAATTTCAGTTAAGCTGCAATAGTGAGAATCACTAAGAGACATACTACCCTGACTTTGGGATTAGTAATATGGTTAATGTTTAAGTCCTTGAGCCACCAAAAGTTCTATTGATTTTTCCTTTACTCTCTCCCTGGATTCAAGCCAGACTCCAGTGAAATAACATTCCTACAGGTTCTCACTAAATAATAGAGATACCAGGATAGAATCTTCCCCAAAACTCGTATTTCCTAACATCTTTAGCAGTTGTAAAATAATGTCAGTGACATCCTAATGAGCATGTAAGGTTCATGTCTCCTGTTGGGACCAGCACCATGGTGAAAATCAGCAGGATCTTCTTTATTGTTGGGATAAAGTGGAGTCTATTTTCAGAATCAGATCCTGTAATATTCCCCATGTCTTCTAGAAAATGCATAATTATTTATTCATTTTTTTAATGTTTGCTCTAAATTATTGCCTCTCTAAATGTCCTGGATGACACAATCTCCAAATTTCCTGTATCTGGTTTCTATCATCTAAGAATCACTTAACACCACAACATTCATCATGGATTTGTTTGGATTATATCTTTATCCTTATCCTCATCGTTTTCTGCTATCATCAGGGCTTT